CTAAATTACCCTTCTTTTAATAAAAGATATCACAAAATAATATATTTAAATAAAAAATAATAAAATTCTTTAAAGTAATTATTAGTTTCCAAAAAATTAAACTCACTTTCTCTCTCTTATTAATTATGGACGAAAATTTAAATTTTTTTTCTAAAAAGTTGCTAACCAATGAGAATTGAAAAACTAAGATTTGATATCCAACTAAAATTTTATCAAAACCAATCCTAATAAACTATTCTATATCAAAAATAAAAAGAAAAATAATACCATTTTATTTCAAAATTAAAAACACTATAGTATAAAAAATTTTATCAATGGAGGATTTTAAGATTGAATTTGAAATTTTGTAAAAAAATTAAATACAAACATTTAAGACTCAGTTTTGTTATAATGTTTTCACAAATTTTGAAATATAAAACAAAATTTTATTTCATAATTTCTTAAAAAAACGATATTGGGCATTCATTTATAGCAAGTTTTGGAAATATCTAAACAATAGATTGTACATATTAATTTCGAAATATTTTGTGTTTTCTTTTTTTCTTCTCAACCGGATCTTCCTTAAACCAATCCATAATATATTGCACACAGATTTCGAAATAATGTGAACTGATTATATATTTTGCATTCAAAACAAATTATGCAGCAATAGCATATCCCTTTTATAGATATATCTCAAATTTTAATTTTAGTCTAAAAAATCGAATTAATTATGATTAAACAATGAAAAGAAAAATATGCAAAATTTAGCTAGAAACATTAATAAATTTGTTAAAATATATTTATAACTTTAACAGCATACATATTAATCCGCAAAACTCACAGTATATATTATAATATTGTATGGTATTTAAAGGTAAGCAAACAAGAATTTGGAACATAATTTTAATGGAATAACATGGAAATAGAAATTACGAGACGAGATGGAAGGGGAACATATATTAAAAATCAAACTAAATACCCAACTGGTATGAGCTCGGGTTATGAGCACTATATAAAATAAATTTGTTTACACACATAACCATGTACATACGTTTTTAGTTACACATACTCTATTTATGGCAGATATGGGACCGTAATATTTTTATTTTACGTGTACGTGACAGGTTATGGGATAAAGACTTTATGACAGATACTATAAGGGATATGTTTCCTCTTCCAAAATAGTTACGCCTTGCTAATATACATGAAATAACCCAAACTAAAACCGAATTCATATCCTATTTAACATATGTAATCAAACTGTTAGAACTGTTTTGATTAGTTAAGAAAATAAAAATGCAACACCATTTAACTTTTGCAACTAAATTAGTCCGGATCTTAAAATATAATTATGCATTAACGCAACTGATTTTTTTGTTCATTACTCTAACTTTATAATATTTATATTATTACGAAGTTCACTAATACAACAAAATATTATATATTTTTAAAATCTATATAACAATTTCTATAAAAATATTTCTATACGTACGTGGATCCAGATCTAATACACTAAAATATATATCATAAAATTTTAAAATATGAAACCCCGCACGTACGTGCGGGTCATGATCTAGTTATTAATAAAATGTAACATTCTTTTAATCATTTGTTTGATAAGTTAAAACTTCTTTGTGAATATGTTTTCCGTTCTAGCTAATTTTATATGTGAGTTTAACATCATCAAATCTTTGGACATGCCAAGAAATGAGACAACCGATCATGATTTTTTGTTTCGTGTTCCTTGCTATTATGATGCAGTTGTAGATTTTAAGTGTCATTATGCTTGGTTAATGAGTGACTCAATCCTAACCATATTCAAACAGAACTATAACAATGAACATGTGGTTTAACCAATGAAAAAAGAGTAGTTGCATATTGTTTGGAGTTAATTTGGCCACACCCTCAGAAAACAAACACCCCATGGGTCAAATTGAATCAAACCAAAAATCTAAAATTTCTAAAACTCTTTCAAACTAAAATGTTTTATAATTCAATTCAATTCACACAATTCAATTCTACTAGAAGTTATATTAAGGTAAGCATAAAATTACTATTTCTTATTATTTATATATGAAATTCTTTTTATAATTATGTGAAACTAGTATATTTGAACAAGTATTAGTTGTACCTCATATTTAAAGTCATCAAATATATTTTTAGAAAGAAATTTGTGTAAAACTTTAAGTGACTCTACTCAGAACACATGATCTTTATGTGGTGTTATAGAAAGTTTTCAGATTGCAAGGTGTAGCCATAGACATAACTGTGGATTTAAATGCTTTACATGGATATGATCAATTAAAGTGGAACTAAAAAAAAAAAAACTCTTTGATCTCAAAGGTGAGTTACAAAAATATGTTAAAGTATTGAGAAAAAAAATTTGATGTTGACGGTTGTGTGCATGTAGCAGTGGCAGAGCTAGAACGATTTTTTATTGGGGTTAAATTATATAAACAAAAATAAACACTAAAATATATTTCGTAAGCGAATTTTTATAATTAAAAACCAAAATTTATCAAGATTTACATGGCTTGAATGACTGTTTCATGGATTTGGGTTCAATTTTGAAGGATCAAGTATAATTTTAGCTAGAAAATATGGGTTTTGGGTCTTCTTTTTTAAGTAAAGCATGTATTTAAGTCAGATTTATAGGGATCAGAGTAAAATTTTTAATGGGGTCAATCTTACAATTTTCCAAAAAATATCCATTGCACATGCCTCCGCCCCTGGCATGTAGTGAGTTTTGCAACCTGGCGAAAAAAATATTCATATGCTTAAGAGAGGAGAGCAAGAAAGTGAAATCCGGAAACAAGTTCTCTTAAGTTGAATCAACAATAATAACATCTTCTGACATACCACAAAGCATTAAATCGGATAAATAGCCTCTCTCGTTATTTATTTTCTATTCATTTTTATCTCATGCATGTTTATCTTTTCGGTTTTGTCATGTTTTGAAGTTATGTTATGTCGAATGAGAGAAGGCAAAAAAAAAAAAAGATTTAAACATTTACAAATAGCTCAAAAAGGTTAGAAAGTGTATTTAACACTAAACAAAATATGCAGACATTTTCTTAGTTAACTGTTAAGAAGGTTAAAATATGTATTACACAAGCTTTCTTAATTAGTGTGCATTAGTCGAAAGAGTCAATTACGGATTTTGCTTTTAGAGTGGCATTTGTTGGTTATGCCATTGTTTGAATAGTTTGTGGATTTTACCATTTTCCAGACGACAAAATATGATTTAACATGCATTTTACATGTTATGTTTGAGTTTAGTCGATTCCATTTGTTCTTAGGGTTTATAATTTGATATAAAATACGTATTTTGCAAAAGAAATCGTAAATATGTACATTTCAAATGTTAAGAAATGACATTTCCGTAAAATTTAGTAAAAATGGTATTTTTTTAAGATTTCCCAAAAAAGGCATTTTCTACAAGAATCCTTAGTCTAAACCATCATCTAAAAAAAAAAGAGCGAGTATCATATATAGATATATTTCTCTCTCTTTCCATTTCTGTATATCACAAATTCACAATGTCGTTTGCCAAACACAAAGCTAAACTAGTTATTGCACAAGGCCCATGTGCTAGTTTCTTAATTTTTCAGTTTATCTACATATACATTTTTACAGGGTTTTTTTGCATTAATTCATTTTCATCCGGGTTTTACCCGGGTTTAACTCTATCCGGATCTTGGATAAAGAATTTTAGGAAGGTTGTCTTAAAACCACATTAATTCTTAATTAACACCTAAATTGGAAATATATATAATATATCTAAACTAACCATATTTGTTATTTACCTTAACTACTTCTAACCATAATTATTTAACTATTTATTTCTATATAGAAAGAATATGTGATTAAAATAAATATTTTGTAAAATATTTATTTGGGAAAAAATTGTTCATACGAAAATAATTTATTTTGTTATAAAAATTAATATTTGTTATTTTTAATTAAATTACATAAATAATAATAATAATTTGTCTACACCATCAAATGAAAATAGTTAGTTATTTAATTTTTTATTTAATATTACGTAATTTTTAAAAAATAAATTCAACAATATAATGTCAATGGGTTTAATTCTAAAGATTTGAAAATATTAAAAAAGATACTAACCAAAAATTATCTATCCTAATTTGTTTCTAACAATTTGGACACAAATCTTTCAAATCTTTCGAAAATTTAATGTGATCACATTTGTTACTAAAATCTCGATTATATTCCTAAAATCTCGAGAAGATCTTCATTTAAATCTGCAAATTATAATTTATGAATTAAATAAACTAACAATACGAATATTCCTAATATATTCGAGTACCATAACGAAATTAATTCTTTAATTATACATATATTTTCGAAATTATCTTAAATGCTTATCATTCCAAAAATTAAATTGATTTCGAATATTTCCACAATCTAAATTAATTACTATAACATACTTTATCTCAACTATTGTTCCTAAAATATTGCTTAAATATCGATTTTAAAGAAACTAATTACTCTATATATATTTCGAAATAATTAGATTTGGATCCTTTCTTTATTTGAACGGTTTATCAAAATTATATTCCTATAATAGATTGTAAAACATTAATGCACTATTACGAGAATATGAATTTAAAGGAAAATCTTTGATATTAATACTCCTAATAAATAGCCGATTTTAATTGCAAAAATCTTTCATATTAATGCTCTGAATAAAAATGCAGATTTTAACAGTATATAATAATAATTGCAATTCACATTTCTTGCCTAAATAAAATGAACTATATTAATTCCGTATTCAATCCACCTAAAAGATTTAGGAAATTTTCTCATGATAAACGATTTTTAAAGATATTATCCTAAAATGGTTAGGAATATATGTAGCATATTCTAGATTTGTGATAATTTAAAGATTTTCGAATATATCAACGCCTTGCTAATCAAGATTTTGGATATTCTCTAACACAAAACCCTACTAACCTATCATAACTCTATAAATACTTGATCGTTTCTACTACTTCTGAACACACAAAACACCAGTTGCATTCTTTAACTTTCCAATTTCTAATCTTAATGTGTTGTTTGATTTAATTTCTTGAAATTGGATTCGATTAAACTTTGAATTTTTGTTTATAGGTTTAGAAATAAATCTATTTTGAATTTTCTGCGTCAATCATTTTATGAAATTTGAGGAAGAAGATACAATTCTTTTTTTATATTCATCAATTCTTTTGTTCATATACATCGCTAGAGTCTTTGGATATTATAAACTTTTTTTTTGTTCGTGTGCAGATTCTTTGTGGTCGATCATGTTGGTGATGAGTTACGACTACTCTCAATGCTAGATGCTTTGGTAACAAGTTAATTTCTATATAATATGAATTTTCCACTTACAGATTTGGTGCTCCGTTGGATTTCCACGACACATGATGTGGTGCTCCGTTGTATCGTGTAGATTTCCGTCATCATTTCCGATTCAAGAAGCATAAGCTCTTCCTTGCTGCTGAAGGTGTGTACATTGGTCATTTTGTTGACTATGGGAAGAAAGCCATTGTTATTGCTCATAATCCTAATAACGACACTTACTTTTCTTGGTGATATTCAATTGATTTAATATGTATATCTCATGGACCATTTGAATGATTGCGTTAGATTTGATTAGTGCAAATCTTTAGTTCTTAACAACAGATTTCAATATTTTCCCGCTGGTCATTGGATTCATATCTAGCTTTGCTGAATTGGATTATGATTTGTGTTTAGTATACTTTACGTTTCAGTTTTCTGATAAAGTATGATTGGATTAGATTGTACTGAACAACTATTAATATCTATTTGTTCTTTCTTTCGATGAGGGAATTGTTCTCACAGTTATGAATTTACACATGTTTTTGATAGGATGAAGTTGCCATCGGGTTCGAAAAAGATTGTGCCAAGTGGATGCATGGCCATGATTGGTCAAGTTGCAGGTGGTGGAAGAACTGAGAAGCCGATGCTAAAGGCTGGTAACACATACCACAAGTACCGTGTGAAGAGAAACATGATTCGGTTCTTATTTATCTAGGTTCTTCCTAGGTTCGAACAAAGTGATGCAGGTTGCTCTTGGTCGTGCTGCTTCTGATGAATTCCGTTCTGGTATCTACAAGTCTCCAAGGTTCGTGTACTATGCTTCTTACAATGGTTCTTTTATGTTAAACGCTTTGTGAACAGAACTTATGCCTTCTCTATATTTTGTTGTTGCTAGATCAACAAACAAGATTGACTATGATCATCCAAATTCTGTTTGATGAATGCTTAGCCAAGTTCCAATAATTGATGGAATTTATCTTGAGGCTTATCTACCACCAAAGAAGGTATATTTGCTTTATGGATGCTTTGTTCTTTGGCGTGTGTTACATCCTACGGCTGCATTTTTTTGGAGAGATTTTTCTCTGAAAAAAAAGAAACTGATGAAAGATCTGATCTTTTGGTTTTGTGCTTTTTGTGGTTGCTTATTCAGATTCCTTTCTTGAGTAACATAAACATATTTTTCCTTGGGCAAGTTACTTCAGCGAGAAAGATATTCACAGAGCACACGTAACAAGCCTTCACATGATCACTCAGAGACTGAGCTAAGCAATGCTCACGGCGAGGTGATTGAACAAGGCTTCAAGCTGGAATGGTTGAAGTTAAAGCTTGATGAGGTTTCCTTAAAGAGGAAGAAATTAGATGTTGATGTCCTACAACTCGATGAACGTGTTAAGAATATTGAGCTGATGAGATTGGACTTCAAGCTGGATTGTTTGAAGACAAATCTTGAGGAGGTGTCCTTGGAGAGGAAGAAATCAGACGATGCTTGATGTCTCGGGTCCAACAACTCGAGGAATGCTTCAAGAACCTTGAGATGATTATGTTGGATCTCAAAGTTAAATTGGACAAGGAGGAGGCCAAATCTTCTGCTGATGATTTTTTGTTGATCAATGAGGTTGATTGACGTAGAGATTCTAATAGTCAATTCTAATAGTCAAAATTAGTCTGTATCAAAAGACCTGCTTAATGCTTTTGTTGATGGTTTTATGCTTTATTTTTCTCTGCTCCACTTTTGGATATTTTTCTTCAATCATATTTTTTGTTTTTGTGGTAAGATTCAATCCAAAAATTAATGAGCAAATCAATTCGTTTTTCATTACTCTTAAGCTTATAATCTTACCAATTAGTATTATTTAAACTTATAATCTTACCAATTAGTACTAATGTCATCAAATAAATACAAAACACTTTATCTTCTAACAATACACACATTTAACACTTATATTTCCTTTGCACTAAATATAAATTCATAAATACTATAAATTTTATTAGGCCAAAACTCAATATATTCAAATGAAATCAAATATAATATATTATGTGTGTAATTTTATAAAATTATTAATATGAAAATATATTGAGTACAAGTGAGTGATATATTTAAAATTGTTTATAACTCTTTTTTTTACTAAAATGATATTGAAATTGACTTATTCTACCATTTATAGATATATACAACTTCTATATCAATATATACATTTAAATTAATAAAAATACATATATGTCAACTAAAATATTGAAATTAATAATTCAACAAAAAATTTCAAATAATATATATGCCCGCGGTGTACCGCGGGTTAACATCTAGTAATGATATATTTTTACATAGCTTATCAAAAATGGTCATCTTTCTTTCTTTCTAAAAACTTTATTAGTTTCATAATTGTTATCTTGGTTAACAAGAGCATTTAAAAAACTGGGACATGTATGGTACAAAGCCCATTGATGAATACATTTAGATACAAATTGCCTTTCTACTTTCTATCTTATAAATCCGCACTTAATTTTATTCGTTATGACCAAAGGTGAACTCAGAGCCGGACCAATAAAATCTGGAGCCCCAAACGAATCAATGGGTTGATGACTTGTGGAGAAATTAAAAAGAGTAATTCACTTTTTTGTTTAAACTAAATTGTATATAATACTAGATTAGGACCCGCCCGATGGGCGGGTTTTTAAACTTTTAAATAAATTTAATTTTAACAAAATAAAATATCAATTTTTTATTATGAATAAAATTATATTTAAACTAAGAAGCTAAATTTTTAATTAGACAGAAGATTTGTTTATATATATTCATCTTTTGCCTTAATACACTTATCTCCATATCTATATTTTAAATTTGTTGGTACATTTATTATAATAATAAAATAAATTGAAATTACCAATCACCAAAATTTTTGCCAAGATATTCATCATTATTATTATTGTCAAATTGTTGGCAAAAAAAAATTGTTATTGTCAAATCTCAAAAAACGTAGTTTTGCAGTTTCGCCTAAAATATGATTCCACAATTTCTTAAGAAAATATTTTATATATACACCACCGGTCAAACCGTTATCTTATTTACATCTAGTTACAATTTAATAGCTTACCACTCAAAAATATAGGAAAATTCTATAAAAAAAACACACTTAAGTTTTGATTTTCCAAAACTATCATTATTAGTTTAATATTTTAAAAGTTCCACTTAATTTCTTGTTTTCCCAAAAATACCACAAAACTAAAAATTAAATTTTCAACATTCAAAGCGAAACCCTAAACCCTAAATACTAAACCCTACCCCTAAAACTATACCTTAAATCTAAATTAATCAACCCAAACCTAAAAATTTAAATTTTAAATCCTTGAAAATCAATTTTTAGTAGCTTTAAATTAGAATTAGTAAATGATTTTCTAAATTCTATTTTTATTTAATAAGATACATATAGTTTTCTTCTAATTATCTTTTTTACCTTTTTAAAAAAATTATATAAGATATATACATATAATTTCCTAAGATTTTTTTTGTTTGGTGAGAACATATGTGGCTATCTATTTGTTTATATAGAGGTGAGTACTTAGAATCCTTTGTTTTATAGGTATAATAATTGATTGTAAAATTTCCTTAAAACTTTTTTAATTCTTAAGGAAAAAGTAATCATTTTCTTTTAGAATTATTAGCTTTAAATTAGAATTAGTAAATGATTTTTTAATTTCTATTTTTATTTAATAAGATACATATAGTTTTCTTATAATTATCTTCTTTACTTTTAAAAAATTATTTTATATAAGATATATATGTATAGTTGCCTTATAATTTTTTTCTTAAAGTTCTATTTTTATTTAATAAGATACATCTAGTTTTTTTTATAATTATCTTCTTTAGATTTTATAATTGTTTTCTATGAGATATATACGTATCATTTCCTTAATAATTATTTTTCTAAATAAATAAATTTTTTGTTTTGCACGTGTTAAAATCTGAGATCGATAGATTTGACATGTGTGTATAGTTTTCTTATAATTTTTTTAAAATAAATAAAAGGTAATTTTTGTTTAACACTTGTCAAAATCTAAGATTGATAAATTTGACACGTGGCACAATCCTATGAGTTACTAAGTAGTAATTAATTTTTTAATTTCTATTTTTATTTAATAAGATACATATGTAGTTTCGTTAATTGTCTACTTTACTTTTTAAAATTGTTTTATTTAAGAGATATACACATAGTTTCCTTATAATTTTTTTTTCTAAACAAATATAAGGAATTTTTGTTTTACATGTGTCGAAATCTGAGATCGATAAATTTGAAACGTGGCACGATCTTATGAGTTATTGACTTTGCAAACCATACTTTATATAATAAGATTTTATATTTATAAATATTTTGGGCCACAAAATAATTTAGGATCTATCTTTACTAAATTTACGCTTTTCTTCCATTATCAAAAATCAGTATCTTATTATATAAAGTATGGTTTTCAAAGTTAGTAACTCATAGGATCGTGACATGTGGCAAATCTATCGATATTAGATTTTGACACGTGTAAAATAAAAATTTCCTTTTTAAAATAATAAAAAAAAGATAATTATAAGTAATTATAAATTGAAATAATTTTAAATATGTTAAAGATAATTATAAGGATAATTGTAAATAATTAATATTTCTGTAAACAGTTTAAAAAATGTCAAAAGATAATAATAAGGAAATTATACATTTTTATAATTAAATATATATCTTATTATATAAAGTATGCTTTTCAAAGTTAGTAACTCATAGGATCGTGCCACGTGTCAAATTTATCGATCTCAGATTTTGACACGTGTTAAACAAAAATTTCTTTTTATTTATTAAATATTTCCATATCTAGTTAAATATAATTAAATATTTTGACAAAATACTAGAAATTCAACTACAAAAATATGTTTACATTTGGACATATCTGTATTTCTATTATCTATTAGCAAAACCTTTTTGATATTAATAAATTAATTGTAGAGTAATATATTTTTGACTAAAATTTTCGGGTTGACATCTCTCCATTTTTACCCTTAACCGTAAGAATTGCTTTGACTTTTGTGTTAATTCGAGAGATTTTATGGGTTTGGGAAAACCGTGATGTCCCAAAAGAGCATGTGTCAGCCGCTGCAAAAATCAATCATGACAAATGAAATCTAATCAAAGACATAAAATTTCAAAGAGGACATAGATCTTACAGATGAATTATGAGTCGGTTGTAACATGGTGTCCATGTCGAATTCAAAAAAATTAAAGACGTATATATACATAGAAACGTGGCTGCTGATGAGAGGCAAGATGTCTTATATCGTTCTCTTACCTCGAATCTGCCGCTTTCAGACTTGCATCGCCACACTATTCCCGAAATCTCAAGCATCCAATTCATCTCTTCTCTCTCACAATACTTTGTTCCAAATCTTCATCTTTTCTTCCTCACAGTATTATGTTCACCTCTTCGTAATTGATTTTCGATTTGAGTTGTTGATTCCACGATTATACATGAGATTAAATGTTTCGTACTTCCCAGAAGTAGATGATCAGTCCCGTCTCATACTTTTTGACAACCTTAGGCAAAACACAAAAAATGGGCCTCTTGATTTAGAGCTTCAACGGTTTGTCCAACTGCATTTCATCCAAAAACTAGCTTAAACCTGAAAAAAAAAAGTATCAATGATTTCAGACAAAAACGATCATACGAAACGTTTCATTCTACCCTTTGTTGATGCAAAATCATTGATAATTATTTCAAACTCCATACTCTCCAAAACATCCTTTTCAATGCACAAAATTGCTAAACCGTTCAATCTTTCTTGAGACATTGATGATCTCAAATAATTTTTCAGCAACTTTAGCTTAGAGAAACTCCTTTCCGCTGATGCTACTGTCACAGGAGTGGTTAGCAAAATCCGATAAGCAATAGCAATATTTGGATAACAACCAATGGTTTTTACAAACTCTAAAACCTCGATAGGTGTCATC